GGACAGGGCAAGATATGACAAAATAATAATTTATAAATGATCAAGGGTTCATGGGGGAGTGGGAGGGAGGAGAAAATATGAGGAGCTGATACCAGGGGCTTAAGTGGAGAGCAAATGCTTTGAGAATGATGAGGGCAGTGAATGTACAAATGTGCTTTACACATTGATGTATGTATGGATTATGATGAGTTGTATGAGCCCCTAATAAAACGATTAAAAAAAAAAAAAGTAAGATCCCTGAGACTGGTAGGGGTGGGGATAGAGAGAAGAGAGGGAAACAAAAGTAGCAATGTAGCTGAGTCCAGATCTCTGCCTGTGGAGCTGCAAGACTTTAGTCCCTGCCCGGAGGCAGGCAGAGGCAAGCTGTGGCTGTGTTGAGATTAAGCCCCTGCTCCCAAATGGTCCTTCCTCCACCCGAGAGTGGCGGGGCTAAGGTCAAAGCCCACCTGTGGTTAGCCCAAAGCTCCCAGCCCCTCAAAACCTTGTGGGTCTGTGTCTACTTGTCTTTATGATGCTCCTCCTGTGATCCAGCAGTGTTGAACTTCCCTCTAAGTAACTCTCCTGGGCGGAGTCCCTCTGGTATGTCACTTTTGAATAATTTTATAGGGAAAAATACATACTAGTTAAAAAAAACAACAAAACCCCTAAGTTTTACCTGTCCTGGGAGACGGATGGGTTATTTGGGATAGTTGATACAGTACAGCATGTAACAGGAAAGATACATACAGAATTGAAAACCACTGCTCTTGATGCATAAGGATGTTCACAATACTTGTATTTAGTACATACTCTACTGTTTAAATGTAGACACTTAGGAAGTGGGCATGCAGGAAAATATTATGTTGCTTTAGGGTTTCATTTTAACCCTGAAGCAACTACCTGCCAATCTTCTTTCCCCTTCTGGCCCCTGGAAGGGATGCTAACATTCCATCCCCGGGTATACCCGAACACCTCTCTTCTGTTCTTGTACAGCCCTACTTCCACTACGCTGCTCTTTTCTAGGGTACAGCCTGTCTTTTCTGCCAGCCTTGCCTTCCGTACCATGATGACAGCCAGTGGCTGTCCCTCTTGCCTCTTACCTGTCCTTCAGCCACAGGTCTCACTGGGCTGAAGCAAGGTGACGGGCGTTGGCTGGGCTGCATCCCTTCTGGAGACTTTTGGGGGGAAATTAATGTTCCTGCCTTTTTCCCCCTCTCTGTCTTCCTCACTCATGGCCCCCCGCCTCTGTTTTCAAAGCTAGAAGCAAAGAATTGTCATGTCTCTGATTCATGGTTCCTCATCCATTAATCAATCCAGGACCATTTTCTCATCCCAGGACTCTGCTGAAGCACACGGCAAAGTCCTTTTTGTGCTTTGAAGAAGCCCTGGTGCTGCCCTGCACCTTTGAAGGTGCTGCTGCTGGGTAAACATTGGACTGCTAACTAACCAAAGTCAGTGGTTCAGACCCACGAGGTGGGAGAAAGATGAGGCTGTCCATTCCTGTAAAGCTTTCAAGCCTTGTAACCCCTTCCTAGGGCTGTTCAGAGTCGGCATTGACTGGAGGGCAGTGGACACTGCAGCTAAGCTGTGTGGTGACATACATGCCCATCAGGCTGAGGTGTTGGCCTTTAGAGAAGCCGTGATTCTGTCAACCACAGTTCTCACTCTAGCTTTGCTTTTCCAGTGTGGCCAGCACCTCCTGACACTGCCCCTCAGGCTCCCAAAGCCCACTGTTCCGTTCCTCGTCGTTGCCCTTTGCTTACTTTTTGCATCCTTTATTTTATCATTAAATAGTTCCTTTTCCATTTTCAGGCCACTCCCATTCCTCACTGCTCTGTGCGTTGATGGCACAGGTTCCACATTCACCCCCCCTGTAGTGTTGCTCTCTTACCCTTTCCTTGGTTTTTAAACTCCTTCATGTGAACTGGGTGAAGGTTTACAGGGCACAACAGTTTTCCGTCCAACAATTTGTGATACGTTTTGTTGCATGTCATTGATTGCAATCCCTACAGTGCGATGGCCCTCATTCCACTCCCTCCCTGTGTTGTCTTTAACCGTTCTTCCTCCTCTTCTATCCTTTCTAAGCTTCTTGGGTAAATGCTCCCCTTCTGATCTCAAATGGTTGCTCATTCTAAGGTGTGGACACCTCTCTAACGTTTCGTCCCCCTGTAGACGTATTGTTTGGACAAAAATGGAGCCATGGTCTAGAGTTCAGTTCTGGACCTGAAGGGTAAGGGCCATCATCACGGGGGTTGCACCAGTCTCTGTCAGACTTAGTAAGCCTGGCCCCTTAAAAAAAATTTTTTTTTTAATGATTTAGAGTTCAGTTCCACATTTTTCTCCCTATCCAGGATTTTCTAATGTGATCTCATTCAGAAGAAGTGGTAGTGGTGCCTGGCACTATCTGGTTCTTCTGGCTTCAGGTTGTGGCAACTGATGTTTGCATTGCCCATTCATCCATTGGACTCGTTTCTGTGCATCTTCAATTTTCTTTACTCTTGTTTCCTCTGGACAAGGAGAGACCAATACATAGTTGAACCTTACATGGCCACCCATCAGCTTTTTAAAATTTTTTAATTGTTTTGTTAGGGGCTCATACGACTCTTATCACAATCCATACATACATCAATTGTGTAAAGCATATTTGAACATTCATTGCCCTTATCCTAAAAACATTTGCTCTCCACTTAAGCCCCTGGCATCAGGTCCTCATTCCCCCGCCCCTCCCCCCCCCCTGCACCCTTCTCCCTCATGAGCCCTTGATAATTTATAAATTGTTTATTTTGTCATACCCATCAGCTTTTAGGACCCAGTCACTACTTGTCAAAGTAGGGTGTTGAGCCTTGTCTTGGTGGACTAGGCTGTGCTAATTGGCTGCTATTGGAAGCTCTGTCATAGGGCTCTGGTCTTGTCCTACTCCCTGTGAAGACGGTGAGTCCTGGAGCCTCCTTTCAAAGCGGTCATTTTGTGTGTGTCTGTTACTTTCCCCGTTACACTGAACGTTTCATGGGTAGGAACTGAGGCGTAGTCATCTAGACCATAAAATTGTTGGATAAAGGTTCCTTGAGTGACCCTGTCCAGGATGGTGTCAGCAACAACACCAATGATGGAGTTTCACATTTTTTATGTAAAGGAAGGCTCTCCTAGTTGACATTCTAACCTGGATGGAGTTGCAATTTCTGTCCCTTTGTCTTAAATAAACGCGAGTCTGATTTCATTCCTGGCTCTGAGCCATTTGGGGATCGTAGATGCTTTGGAGAATCTCAAGGTTTTGATCTCTATTCTTAGGAAAAGTGCACATATTTAGAGTCCTGAGATTAAGGACATTTAGGCTTATCTAGATGTGCCGTCTTTAATTTTATTAGAGGATAACAGTTACGTAACAACAGGCATGAGAATACTTTTCAGAAATGGTTTTAATGATTTTCTGGGCATTGTTGTTTGGGGACTTAGACCTTGCTAATGCTAAGGAGCCCTGGTGGCACAGCGGGTTAAGTACTGGCCTGTTAACCACAAGGTTGGTGGTTAGGACACACCTGATGCCTCATGGGAGAAAAGCAGTCTGCTACCATAGGACTTAGACTCTCAGAAGACCCATAGAGGAGTTCAACTCTGTCCCGGTGGAGTGAATTCACAGCAGTGGGCTTGTTGTGAAAATGCTGGATTAGGAAAGACCAAGTCTAGAGAAAGGGACAAAGTTAAACTAGGGAGAGGTTTCTGAGCTCCTGTCCTAGGTAAGACAACACGTAGACTTCTGATGAGAAGCAGACCTGTCCGGCTTCTGTGATCGGGACATCCACATAGTTGTTACCTGGAGGCGGAAGCAGGACCCTGTGGGTAAATCCTTAAGGGTTTTGCCTTTCCTTTGTGATTTTGATGTCGGTTCTGATGTAGACAGCTTTGGAGGCCTACTTACGTAATCACACAGGTGGTTTGAAGAGGGAGGCAGCCAGGTTGGAAAGGTTTAGGGCGGTGGCCTGGGCCAGACTGTTTGTTTAGCTCTTCTGTCGTCTTGCCGAAAGAGGTAAAGGCATTTAAGAGAGAACGTACAACAGTTGTTTGCATGACAACTTCCTAGTTCTGAGCACTTGGAGCCTCTTCCCTTCGCCATCCCCTGCCCGAGGGGGCACCTTTGGCTTATGCTGGCACGGTTTCTGCAGTTGGACTGCATTTGTGGAGAGCCGGACTCCCAGGTGGAAGATGCCAGAGAGTCGGTGTTGGAGAGGTTTAAGGGAAGCACTTTGGTATGTTCTAATCAGAGACTGCCAGGTCACAGGGACAGCTGAGGTCGGAAGTTGGTGCTTTTAATATTGGGAAACTTGGAATGAGGAATAGTCTAGCTTTAAGTATGAGCACACTTGCCTGGGCTGGAGTAGGAGGCTGAAGTAGAGCCCACGCTGTGCTTTGCAGTCTTGGATCCAGGAACGAGAAAGCGTCCTTTGAGCATGTTGGTGTGCACCTACCCATTACCCTGAGTGCTCAGCACCGGCTCCCACGCACGCACGCAGTAGACGTTCCTTAGAACCTGGCAGTGCACTGGCTGCTGTACAGTAAGCTTGAACTCTGATTCCTTGTTGGTAGGTTTTGGCTTTTTAAAATTTGTGATTTGGGTATAAGTATGCAGAACTGATTGATTTTTCCATTCAACAATTCATAGTCACCTTGTTTTGTGACTGTGTACAATCCCCCCAGTGTCCCATCCTGCTCTTCCCACCGTTTCCTGTGTTCCGATTTCCACGGCCCTTCCGTGCTCTCCCTCCCTAACTTCTGAGCTCTGTCGCTCAGCAAACGGTGCCCTTTGGTCTGGTGTGTTTGATTGAAGAGTGACCGAAGGCCATTGTTCTACCAGTCCCAATCAGGCACGTAAGCTGGGTCTTTTTCTGATTTAGAGTTGCGCTCACATTTTTCTCCTCCTCTGCCCAGGGCTCCCTTTTGTGTGCCCTTTCAGAGGGCTCAGCAATGGTAGCAGGCACCACCAAGTTCTGGTCTCGGGGGTCATGGACTGGTTGTTTCCATGGGTCCTTGGTTTTCTGTAGCCTTTGCTTCCAACAGGGAGAGGCGGAGAGTTGCAAGCCAGATGGCCCTTCACGAGCTCTGCAGCCCCGGTGCCTGCTCGGCGCAGTGGGATCGAGAACAGCGTTTTTGGGGACTATGTTAGGCCAGTTGACTTCGCTGTCTATCCCAAGACTACGGTCCTGAGCCTTCAGCTCAGAGGCTCACGCCATTAAGATATACTTAGTTATGGCTGAGAAGTTTTCATACCTTGGCCTGCTCTGTGCTGCTGTGATTATGGACGTATTCACAGCACATATACATAGAAATAGCGCCTGCTATATTGGTAGGTGTAGTCTGATTCACTTTCCCACACCTGTTACCACTTTAGATAGTTGTTAGAACTGTTACTGCGGGGTTGTGCATGCTACAGTGTTTACCTTTGTTGCCTCCCGTGCTCTTCCCGTGTCTTCCTTTGTCTTGATCATTTTATGCCGACCTCCCCCCTGGTGGCATCGTAGCTACGCATTGGGCTGCGATCTGCAGGGTCTGCAGCTCGAAACCACCAGCCCGCTCCTCAGGAGAAAGACGGAGCTTTCTACTCCTGAAGCAGTTACGGTCTCAGACTCACAGGGGCAGTTCCACCCTGTCCTACAGGGTTGCTATGAGTTGGCATCAACTTGGTGGCACTGAGGTTAGTTTTGATCCCCCCCTTATAATATATTGTCTTTCATCCACTCTGGTGCACCTGCTAGTGAAGGAGCGTGGTGACACGGTGGGTTTAAGTATTGGGCTCTTAACTGCCAGGTTGGCCGCTCAGACCCACCAGCTGCTCCACAGGTGAAAGATGAAGCAGTCTGCCTCTTGTAAAAATGTAGTCTTGGAAACCCTAAGGACCGGTTCTATTCTGCCCTCAGGGTCACCATGAGTGGACATTGACGCAATGGCACTTTGGTTTTTTGATAGCCTTTAGTTAGAGATTAAGGAGGGTAGGGTGTACTGTGGGCTAGGCAGTGGACTGCTCACTGCAGGGTTGGTGGTTCAAACCCTCACCCACTTTTCAGGAGAAAGATAAGGGTGGCCGTGATTCAAGGACTGTAAATAAGAAAACCCAAGATTAGAGGAGCCGATTGTATTAGAGCTTAAATGCTGAGCACCCAGTTTGCAGAAGGCTATGGATGACAGTGAGAGTCCAAGATCCATTCGCAGAGTCTCCATGTGGATTAAGCTTCCATTGAATTCCCTCAAGACCACTGACCAGGAATTGCCTGGTCTTGCCCTCTGATAGTGCATTGGAAAGTGGATTACTGTAGATAGAGTTAGGTTAAAATTTAACATATTATCATTTGCTTGCCCTTTTGACCCATTTTTAATTTGTTCTAGTTTTTATTTTCTACTTTCTCTTGTATTGAGGTTTTTTATGTGTCTTATTTTGCTGGGTTTTGGGTGTGATTTTCATTATAAAATACAGGATAGTTAAATCTGTTGAGTCAGTCCCTAGAGTAATAGTGCCTGAGCGTTAGGGCAGGGGAGCTTGAGGGGAGTGGGGAGCTAATCATGGTACCACAAGGACGAACAGGGTCTAAAAGGGATTGTGGTGGTGATGGCATGACTCTCTTTAATATATTTAAACCATTGAGTCGTATGGTCCGTGAATTATACGTCAATACACCTGTTATATATTAAAACAACCTAAAAAGGCTGTCTGCTCCCGTCAAGATCGATCATCTTGGTCCTTGAGTCGGCGTCGACTTGAAGGGGGGGTGGTGTGTGTGTGTGTGTGTGTGTGTGTGTCCCCTCTCACCTGGTAACATTCAAAGAGTGCCTCGTTCTGTGAAAATCTTTTCTTCGCTTCTTATGGTAGTTGCCTTTTCTACTCTGCCTTTTTGTGATGGGCTCCTTTCACCGAGCCGATGTCTGCCAGGCTCATCCTTGTGAGCTGCTCCACTCTTGTTCTTTCTTTTTTTTTTTTTTTTTTCACTCTTGTTCTTTCATGTGCTGTCGTCTCCTGTCATGGGTGTGCGCGCCATGATTTGTTTATTCATTCACTCCGGTTGCTCCCATCTCTGCCGTGTGAACAGCGCTGCAGCGATTCTGGGTCTGCACATATCTGCGTGCGGGGAGCTTTTCTGTAGGGCATATTCCGCCCAGAGTCGGATTGCCGGATCATGCGGTGTTACTATTTCCAGCTTTGTAAGCCGTCAGGGCCAAACTCTTCCACACTGGTGGTACCATTTTACGGCCCCACCAGCAGTCTGAGGGTGGCTCCAGCATTTTCTTTCTTTCTTTCTGACTTTGCTGTTGGTGCCAGTATCAGGTGACAGCTGAGTGTCTTCACCTGAATCTCCCTAAGGATCAGGGAGCAGGAGCATTTTCCTTGTGTGTTGGCTGCCTGAATCACTTCTCTAGTGCGTGTCGCTCTGCGTCCCCTGCCTGCTTTTCACTGGGTCATCTGGGACTCACCAGGAATAACTGCCCACTAGGACGTGAGCTGTGGTGTTTTGCTGTTGACAGCCCATTCTGTTTTGCTCTAAGAACGCACTCCAGCAGGGTGACCGTCAACCTGGACTACCTGTCGCACATGAGGGATGCCCTTGTCCAGCCCTTGGCCTCGCATGGGGCGGGCGGCGTGCAGGCCGTGGTGGCCCTCATGGACGCGTACTACCTGACCAAAGACGACTTCGACAGTATCATGGACCTCAGCAGCTGGGGCGGCAAAGCCAGTCCTTTCTCCAAGCTGGATCCCAAGGTAAGTGAACGGTAGAACCTTCTGGTTCTCTGGGTAATTACTAGGGTTCTCCTAGATGTACTCCAGCAGGGTTGGGAGTCCTCACAAAGGTCTGCATGTCTCCCCAGACCCGTGCTTCCAAAGAAGCGGTCTGTAGAACAGTCAGCAGGGCAGATTTGGGGATTTGTCTCTTCGATTTGTATTTTTCTCTCTGTTTTCTGCTGTGTAAAAACAAGAGAAATTCAAGGAACAGATAGAAGTATATTCCTTAGGGGTGGGGAGGACAAACCCGGGAAGTAAAGCAAGCAGAGTTGTGTGTAACGGGGGTTGAAGTAGCTGAGGGGTTGGCTGTGGCAGCAATATGGTTCTAACTGGACAGTCAGTCTCCTGTAAGGATGTCATGCGCTTCTTGTCCTGCGTATGAACAAGCTCAAGTGATCAGCAGGGGATGTTTCCTATCGAATGCCTTGCTCTTGTGCCTGGTGATTCGGCCACCTTTGGAAGGCGTGTTCTCCATGACCGGCTTTGCCTTGAATGATGGCCAGACCTAGTGGTTGTCAGTTGATTCTCACACCAGGCAGCCATTCTTAGAAATCACAGACTAATTCTAGAATGAAGTCCAGAAGCTTTGGAAGTATTTATGAAGCTTGAAGTCAAGGCTTTTTAAGTGTTCGTAGTATTTTGAAGTAATTACTAATTCCGCTGGTGAAAAATCTTTGTGTTGTGAACTTTGTTCATTTGTTGATTCACTCACGTTGCTGATCCTTTTGTGTAAGTGTGGTGGACAGCACCAAACAATGACTTACAGCGCCCCCTACCCGCATTTCTTTTTGGTTTTGGAGGGGAGGGGGCGGAGGGCTCTGTCTAGAGTTCGTAAATATGGATTTTTTTCCTGACTCATGGACCATTATTGAGAATACCCTGGAAAAAAAAATACCACCTTTCCTAGAAAACGTACACACACAAATGCAAATACACAGGCATAAAACGTAGCAATGTCCAGGGCCGCCCAAGGGCTCTCGGGAGAAAGACAAGGCTTTCTGCGCCCATAGTCAGTCAGTCTTAGAAACCCTCGAGGGTCACTAGGAATCAGCAGTGAATGGTACTGGGTTTCTGGGGAGCCCAGGCAGCACAATGGGCTACACTGGGGCAGCTCCATCCCACTCGTTACTCTGAGGGTAGAAGAGATGAGGCGCTCTGCGTCCGAAAAGATTTACAGCCTCGAAAAAGCCTAGGAAGCAGTTCACTCTCCTTCAAAACCTTCCTGGGTCACCGTGCAGTGGGATCAGTTCAATGGCAGGAGGCTGGTTTGGTTCGAGGGTCTCTCAGTCTTTTGATGTACATACAGGGTCTGAAAGATTTGCTCTGCTCCTCATGTAGGTCAAAGCTGCGTTCACAAGAGCGTATAATAAGGAATCCCACCTGACCCCCTATTCCCTTCTGGCCGTGAAGACCGCTAGCCGCAGCACAGGTCCGGCCCTGGACTCTGAATCCAGCGAGGAGTTCAATGAAGAGGAAGCTCCGTCTGAGGAGAAAGATGCAGACCCCGTGAGGACCGATGCTATGGTCAAGGTAGTGTTTCAGGCTACAAGCAGAAGCTGCAAGGCGCGCTTCAAAATAGGATGCCTTTTCCTGCGCTTAAGTTGGGTTCTGAATACTAGTATTTGTGTGGTAGGGAGCAGAGTAAGTTGAAAATCGTTTCTTTTGTTCATCAGTTTAGGGAGGAGAAGTTAATGATTTCATTATTATATAAACAGCCAGAAATCAGATCATTGTGCAAGTGATGGTCATATGTGTACGAGAAGCTATACCACTTGGATTTGGCCTATCCTTTTGTACAGATAGGACGTTTTCACAACATGAACAAGAAAAACATTTTAATGAATCCATTCACCTCTCTCTTATTCGTCTTTTGGTGTAACCATTGAGATGCCTGCTGATGCTCCTCAGAGCAAAGCATCTTCGTCAGGAGAGAGGAAAGCCCACTGTGTGATGGGCTCACCGTGCATCATGGCCAAGGCCGAGGGATGACGTGTGTGTCCTGCTCGGTCCCAGGGCTCCTCCTCAGCTGCTTTTCTCTGGTGGGCACAGCGGGTCCCCTGACAGGTGGAGCCCTGGCCTCACCCCACACGATAGATGGGCTCCTCTCACCCTTTCATCTCTGATCTGAAATTTGAGTGGGGGAGGGAAGCCATTCTTCACATACACATCGCCCTGTCTATAACTCATGTCCTATGACGTTTGTCTTTCCTACACTTACCTGTGGTTGTCTGTTCAAACCCATCAGAGACTCAAGGGAGAAAGACAAGACCCACAAAGATTGACAGTCTTGGAACCCCTGCACTGAGCCAGTGTGAACTGGAATTGATTTGATGCAGTGGGGTTGGTTTGTTTTTGGGGGGGTGGTAGGGAAGTTAAATATACTTCTAAGTCCAAGGAGTTAGTTCCATGGGGAAAGCATAGTTTTGCTCTCGATTCTAACTTTGTAGTCATTCCTTCTTTTACTTACTGATTTTGGGGTACTGCTATCTTCTAATGGCTACAACTAGCCAAGATACACAGCCATTGGTTGAAAGTAACCTAAACCGCCCCCCCCACCCATCTGTAGTCCACAATGTGGCTCGATGATGGTGAGGTAAAGATAGCACCTGTCTGCGCCGCCGCGTGTCTCGCTCACTCACAAGCACAGCCAGGGAGTAATGTGCGTGCCTGGTTCTTCCCCCAACAGAAAAAGACCAAGCCTGCGTCCAAGCCTTCACGACCAGAAAAGGATAAGGTGGCCAAGAAAGGAAAAGGAAAAGGCTCGAAGAAATGAGGTTTCCAGACAACTGGCGGCCACTTTTTACTCACCCTGCTGACCTGGCTCACTGGTTAGAGAAAGCAGGGCTTTTTCCAGGACCATGTTTTGACAGGAACGGGATTGGTCGGCGGCCCGCTGGGAATGCTGCGGCGAAGCAGCCAGAAGGCAGGCACCAGGAGGCTAATGCGCACCTCTCATAGAGGCTGATAGGATTTGCCCTGTGCCTCAATGGCCCTGTAGAATTAAAACTGGATACGAGGGTAGGCGTTCCTAGTTAGCAACAACCTGCCTTGGGACAGCGGTACTTTGTAGGCTTAAAATTTTATACTGGTAGCCTTCATAGTACCCAATACTTCTTCCTTTTTTTTTTTTTAAAAAGGTTGCTATGTGGTGAAAATATGTAAATAAATCATAACGCGAAACATTCACCACTTAGAACTGGGTATTCTTTGTACATTGCCAACGATCTTGCAGGGTATAAATTGGGAATAAAAATGTTCCACGTGGTCCATGTACACATTCCTAAGGTGGTCATGTTGTACAGTAAACTGATGCTGGTCTTACTACTTTGCAGCTGACTGTTCCAGACTCACTGCTGTGTGAGGTCACACAGGCAGTGGAAGAGTCTGGACTCTCTCCGTTCCCTCTACTGCAGGGCAGAGGCTTGGGAAGGGTCAGACTGGCTGCCAGTCTTTCTGCCACCCTCACACCCCACAGTAATAGCAAAGAATAACCTAGAGATTGGGGGTGGAAGGTGGGGGTCATGTGAGCACATGGTAGTGGAGGAGCACTGCTGGTGGGCTGGAGGGTGGGGGGCCAGATGAACACTGGTCTCTCTAGTTCTTTTTCTGGCCTGTGCTATATTCCACAGACCCTACTAGAACCTGGGAGTTCCTATAACTACTGGTTGAGCAGCCCTGAGACGGTGGAACTGGTCTAGAATGTAGGCGCCCCAATGATTTTTAATCTTCTCAACAAAGGATCGGAGTAGCTCTGTGGAATATGTTCTAATGGAACGTAAACCAAGGATACTGTTTTTGGCCTTTAAAGAATTCATGGTCTTATGTGGGAGAGGATGCATAACGCTGTTGAGACATTTGAAGTCTTATTTAGTAGCGTGGAAAATGTCAATGGAAATTCATCATAGGAATAAAACTGCCTAAGCCGTTGCCTAGTGAATTTAGCCATCTCTTAAAACACAGCTTGAAACACTTGTGTAATGAGAATTTCCTTGACGGCAGGACGGTTGCCGTAGGTGTACCGTCCATGTCTCTTAGGTTTGGATACACAAACCGCGTTTGCTGCGCTGCTCTGGGTGCCATTTACTGGTTCATTCTGAGCTCGTTTTTAACGATAAAAGCTTTCAACACAAGACTGGCTTAATCTACGTATAAGATGACTTTCCTTTTAGAGTTGTCGACGTGCTGTTATGTGAGAAGGTGACAACACGGCTCTAGTCGATTCCTCTTCCCTTCATGGCCATGAGCCCGAGGGCTGAGGGCGTAGGAAGGAGTTGGTATTGGAGCAGCTTGGGTGTGAATCTAGGCAGGGGTTGGAGTAGCCACTCATTCAGCGCCATGCATCACACGTGATCATCTTGAGATGACTTGAACTGTTGAATTGCTCCCCTCTCTCGGTGCGCAGGACCCTTTGCATGTTCTCAAGCAGCAGCAGATTGTGGTGTGCGGTGGCTGAGCAGCTTCCTAAACTGTTACTGGAAAATCAAACGCGTGAGTGCCCCAGGCCTCTGACACGAACCCTAAGTGCCACTGGTTCTTATTTCTGCCACTTGATCCTTTTGGAGCATGTAGTATAGCGACGCGCCAAATCCGAGCTTCCTTTTTCATTTCTTACAAATACTGGTTTTAATGACTTTTAGTGTGTTGAGTCTAGCTTTGATTTGTGTCAACTTCCTTCAGACTAAGCTGTGCTTGTGCTGCCTGTGTGTTACTACTGATGTTCCAGTATGCAGCCTTTCTCAATTGTCTATGTCTCTAGACCCAGGAAAGCAACAGAAACATCTAGTCACAGCACTTTAGTTTGTAGGAGAGAGTTTAAAATAGAAGAGTTGTCTCAAAGCTAAATATTTACAGTTATACCATCGGCTATTAACAGTGCGGAGCACAGACTATGAAAGACTGTGGAGAGGAAATGTACAAAGTGCAGTAAAGAAAGATGGAGCATCGCCGGCTGCTGGCCACTCTTCCGAGGTGGAAAGTACAGTCCCCGTGGTTGACTTGTCGGTGCCCAGGAAAGACCACCTCCAAATCCATTCAGGGTGGAAACAGCCTCCCAGGAAAAATGCTAGTTTCTCAGGAACACATCCCTAGAAAGGACAAAACGTGTGGTTTAGAGAGGGCCCAGGAAACAACTAGCGTTCAGTACAGGGAAGTAAACGACAGTGTGTGTGGTCTCCCCTCATTTCTGGAATGTGAAGCAGGAGCAATTATGTTCAACTGGGAAACGGCTCAAGTGCACAAGCGGTGTTGGTGTCCCGTTCTGGCTGTGTGGACAAGGATGAGCTTTTAATTCTTGCGAGAACCACCTCATGTTCAAGTACTCAGCAATCTGGAGAGAAGAAGACTTCCTCATTTAACTTTGGTTCTAAACAGAGTGTGAACAGTAGCTTTAGCCATGACTCCTGTCTTCAGAAGACACCTGACTACAGACTTGAGAAACGGCAGTGCATACTTGCCACTGCGAGGAGCCATGCTTCCTTGGTCTAGGACATTGGTTTGTAAGGCTTTTTTGTGGCAGAGGAAATGTTTGGAGAGATTTTGTGGAGGATTATTAAAAATGCAAGCAAGGTGCCATTTATTTGCAGTGGCACAGGTACAGATGAATCGATCCATGGGTATAAGTTCTGCACAAAATATAACTTCTCAAAGTCAGTGGAGGGCAAATAGGCAGACTGAAAACGTGCCACGCGGGAGGGCTTTGAATGAGGGCCCGCGCCCATGCTTCCTCCTGGGCACAAGCTCTGGCAGCACAGGGCCGGTGGAGCGGAAGCAGCGGCCCCGGCGTTGCCCTGGTGAGCGTGGTTGGACTGTGCGGCATCCGTCTCCTGGGGAGTCGCCGCTCTTCTCGAACGGCCCGTCTGACAGATGCTGCATGGATAGTGCACAGAGCAGCAAGAGCATTCTGGTCCTTGCCTTGCCACTGACTCAGACAAGCGGACGAACTTTTTTTAAAAATAAGTCATTTTATTGGGGGCTCTTACAGCTCTTAGCACAATCCATACACCCATTGTATCAAGCACATTTGTACATGGGTTGCCATCATTTCCAAAACATTTTTTCTACTTGAGCTCTTTTTTCCCTTCCCTCCCTCACTGTCATGAATCCTTGATAAATTAAAAATTTTTCTTTTAACATTTTACACCGTCTGCTGTCTCCCTTCACCCATGTTTCTGTTGTTCGTCCCCTTGGGGGGAGGTTGTACATCAGTCATTGTGATCAGTCCCCCCCCCCCCCTCCCGGTAAGTATTACTACTCATTGGTCCTGAGGGGTTTATCTCTCTTGGATTCCAAGTGTCGAGAACTCTTATCTGGTCTGGGTGGATTTGTAAGGAAGAACTGGGGTCATGATAGTGGGGGGAGGAAGCATTAAAGAACTAGAGGAATGCTGTGTGTTTCATTGGTGCTATTCTACACCCTGGCTGACTCATCCCTTCCCTGTGACCCTTCTGTGAGGGGATGTCCGTTGGGTTACATTTGGGTCTCCACAGGAACTTTTCATTCTTAGTGAGGAGAAGGGCGATAACCACCTTGTTCGCAGCAAAACTCATGAAAACAGTAGGGAATTTCTACATCTCATCCATAATGTCCAGTGTGACGTTACTAAATAAATGAAAGCGGGGGAGGGCGGAGGAGGATGGCACAAGAAACTAGCACGCACGGTCCAGCCAAAAATCATTTGAAATGAAATGATCCTGAGATGACCTGAATGTTCAAAGAACCACGCCTTTAGCAGCTATTTTAAATTGCTCAAGGAGTTAACAGAAAATGGGTCAAAGGAATGCACAGCATTTTCAGCATAGAAATGGAAATGAATTTCAGAATTGAAAAGCATTGAATCTGTCAAAGTTTTCGCTTAGGAGTATCAAGGAACTTGAACACGCAGTGACGTATCCAACGTGCTGAGAAACCATGACGGTGAGCTCCCTTTGGTGACGTCTGCAGGGGAGCGATGACCATAGAGACGGAAGACAAATGCTTTAAGAGAAAAGCTACCAGCCAGGCATTCCATAACCAGTGGACGTTTTTCTCCACAAATGAACATTAGAATGGCCAGCATCACTACACTGCGGGAACGGTTAGAGGCTGAAAGGAAATACCTGTGGAAGCAGACTCGGGGAAGCAGGAGAACGCAGAAAGGGCATGTAAGTGAATATAAAACGACCTTGTAAAGAAAAGTGATAGGGTTTATGACATTCAGATAAATATTTCACAGCATAAAAGGACAGGAGGAAAGACTGGGCAGCCGATAAGGAAAAGCAGGGTGGCTTCCCAAGATCTAGCTCGATCAAACTCGGGAGTAAGGGGAGGGGGGGATGGGGCGCAGCTTGCGAGAAAATTAGAGACCAATATCACTCGTGGAAATAGGAGCAAATCAAATATGGCAATACATAAAAAGAGAACTTCATGACATTCAAAAATCACTGTAGCCCTAAGTCACCCTCAGGTTGGAAGCAAATCTCACCCCATCGCACTATTTTCATCCCGACAATAGATGGCTTCCTACGGGGAACAAGAAGGAAGGTAGGTACTCTTTAAACTAATCAACCACCGAGGTCCACAGGGCAGCATTTCCGGCCACAGCAAAGTCGGGAAGGATGGAGAGAAGAAAGGATGGAAGCGGGAGACATGGAGGAAGTGCACTATGGGAATTGAAATCCATGAGACAGACAAACTAACAGATCAGTTGCCTATTCACAGGACAAAGGAGAAAAATCATCTCTCGGCCAATGCAAAAAACAGTTGACATATTTAACCAGCAAACTGGCATCAGAAGCTAGGAACTTCCTCCAGTTGACATAAAGCCTCATCTGAAAACCCTAAAAGCTCATCTGAAATACTGAAGCTGGGAGACCACTGTCCTACACGTGGACAGCGCTGTGCTGCCAAGTCTCACGGGCAATCCAGGAAGGGACAGGAGACAAGGAGCCGGGAGCCCTCAGGCTGCACTGCTGACAGGAAGGTAGAGGGGCAGCTGCTGTGGCTGACAGGCTGCTTCCCCTGCAGTGTGGCCACGTGACCACATCGATTGTTTCTGTCATTTACTCCAACAGGCTCTCCATGTTGGGGCAGCTACTCACCCTCCCATCCCTCTACATTTCTTATTCTAATATTCTGAGGTGCTATGGGCAAGGCAGCCATTCTTTATTAGTGCCAGTGAAATACTGCTTATTTTCACTAACTGCCTCCACTTTTAATGGACTGATTATACTGAAGTCCCTGTGGTCTAATGGCATATGTTCTAGATTAGATTCTGTGATGCAGCTTGGCCAAAGAACGTTACCAAGGAGAGAGTAGGAACTTGCAGGGTTTTGAATATCTGGGGTCTGTTGGCAAATGGTTGAGTCCTGATGTATAAAGGACGTCGACTCCGCTACACAATTTAAAGTGGTGGGCTCTCTGAAGGGGACCCCGAACCTCAGGAGGGGGCAGGCCCACTTACCTGCCCGGGTCACCACTCACTGCTCCACTTCTGTTTGCAGGTACTGGGTACAGTTCAAGATTTTTTTCAGTTGAGCAAAGTTTAATCTCTCGGAACACATAGGACACGTGTTTTCAGTGTTCAACAGCCTGTGGGGATGAGGGAGGGCAGAATACATGAAATCTACAGCACTCCCTTGGCTTGGGCTACTCTACTATGGAAAACCACTACTTCCGGTCTCTGCTCTGCTATGCGTTCTTGTGCACTTTAAGAATTAGTCATATGCAGTGTCCTGCAAGAGGCCCTTTAAGGAGAATGCTTCCACGGTCAGAGAAGGTTCTGTCAAGCAGCTCATTTAGGGATCTTTCAAACTAATACAGGGATTTAAAATTAAAGCAACCGAATTGGAAGTCCATTTTTTCAGGAGCTGTGGATGGAGTGCAATGGTACTTACATCTTAAATTCAGAGTACAGAGCTGGGAATTCACAGTGCGGGCACACTGTCCAGTCGTCTTTCAGCATATGTCGGCCCTGGAAACAGCAGCGGGGAGAGTACAAGCGGTCTTTCCTTTCAGAACTCCCACCCTTCCTCATTCACAACGATTGGATTCCACCCCACATCTATCTGGCTTTGGAATTACAGAAATCCTGCTCTTTTCCACAGGTGGGAGATCAACTGGGGAGAGAGGGAGCATCAAAAGAACCACAGCGAGATCTGACCAGACCCATGTATGAAGAAGAATCTCCCAATTAGAGATTTCACGGTCTGAATTTATTTTCCTTTAAACTCAAGTTTAGAGTCATGAATTAATAGCCTCATTATTTATCTGCTTTTATTCTGCACAGGTTTTATTGGGATGTACACATATCATACATCAAAAAGAGTTGTACAATCCGTTTTAGAAAGGTTCTTTTTTAAGGACCTTTTTTTAAAAAAGGCTAACTCACCGGTCCTGTAGGACAGACTAGAACTGCTCCCTCGGACGTCCAAGGCAGTCAGCCTTTAGGGGAGCAGAAAGCCGCCGCCTCCTCCCTCAGGGCAGCTGTGGGTTTAGGCTGCTGACCTTGTAGTGGCCCGTCCACCTAGCAACCCAACAACAGGTTCTAGATGGGTTTTCCGAGACTGATGGAAAGACACTTACTGTTGCGATGCAGTATGGGATGTTGTTTTTACATCCGGGGCACAGGAGTTCACACTCCGGGAGCATGAATTCACAGAACGGACATGGGGCTGTGGCCTCTTCTGTCTCCGACGTGTCAGGTCTCCTGTGAGGAGGGATCGAGCACAAGGCTCTTTCAGGCAACGGCACAGACGTCAGCGGGGAAAGGGCAGGGGCGGACATCGGTCACTGCTACCCTACTTCTGCATCGCTGGGCTGGCACTAGAGACGGCCCGGCTCGGCTCCAGGAGGAACCAGGAGTGGGTGTTCTGTGGGCTGTGCTTCGGGTAGGTAGAGGTCACAGCATATTAAGTGGCAGAAAACATTGGGGGGCTTTGCGAAAGGGGCGAGTGGCACGCGGTCTCCCCTTTCTCCTTTTGTGTAACCACAGCAGGAAGGGTGTTGGTGGTGCTGGAAAGGATTTTCTGTACCCCTGGACGTGTCGGAGTTCCGAGCCCACAGGACACGTGCAGCTGTCAAGCGCTTGAGGTCTGGCTAGCATGCTTCAGGAACTGATGGTCACTTTCTCAAACTTAATGAAATGGAGGTAGCCAAGTGTGTCTAGCGAGCCAGGGACTGGGTGGCCAGCAGTTAGTCACTCTGGCTTGGGGAAAGGAGGCCGAGCGCATCTGCCGGACTCGGGTCCCACGTGGCGCCAGGCCATGGGCACACGCTACCTACTCTCCCCTTGTCATGCTCCCTGAGGGCGGGCGTGGGCCATCAGACTGATTCTGTGTGAAGGCTCTTCGTCCTCTCTGCGTAGAAAGCAGGGAAGCGTGTTCCACGTGGCTCCAGTCAGTTTGCCACCGCGAGGATTCCCGCTGCTCACCGAAAGACGACGAGGTGCTTGCGCCCATGTGCTCTCACTGCTGGTGTGGTCACCTCCCTTGGCTGAAGTCTGGGTCCAGGTTCACGTCCATCGGGGTCCCCGAGAACTAATGTTCTTGTTCGCTGCTGCTGTGCAGCAGTTCTGACCCACAGCCACTCCGTGAGCAATCGAAGAAAACACTTCCTGGCCCTGCGTCAACTGCCTGTCTCCGCTTCGAGGAGGCAGCTCTTCCCGACCAGGCGCACTTCTCTTCTGGCGTAACACCAGACAGTGTTCCGCGGCTGCCCGTCAGGTTTGCACTGGCTGATGTTCTCTCAGTAGGCTGCCAAGCCCTCCTTCCTCCTCTGTCTTCGTCTGGAAGCTCCACTGAAACCTGTCCATTATGGATGACCCTTCTGGTGTTTGAACACCAGTACCATAGCTTCCGGCATCACAGCGACAGCTCTTGTCAGCACAATGTGATAGATTAGTGGATGACAATCAGTACCCCAAATGTGTTCCCCACTCAGAACAAGTGTGAGTTCAGAATGAAAACACGATGCGACTTTTCCTCCTGTAAACACAGATGCTCCTTTTCATAATTTTCTTTTCTGATGGAGCTGCTAACGGCTTCTGGGGGAGGCCGTGCCTGTGTGCCCTGGGCCGACATGAAGCTTGGCAGGGCACTCCCCATGGGCGCTGCTCAAGCTGAAGGCCCTTCCAGTTGATGGCTCCCTTGGCAGCCGACGTCATTTTGCGGCCCACCAGTCTTTACTGCTTCCTCATCGGCAGATCTTGGTTTTACTTGCAGTGCGCTTTGCAGCTGGCAGCATGGGGCTAAGCAAGCACTGGCCGGTGAGGCGGAAGCCCGGGGCAGGGTGTCATCCCTGAAGAAGGCAGCCGGGCCCTTCTGACCTTCCCACTTGCTTCCTTCGGCTTTGTGTGGGGACGTGGTGCCTGAGGTGGGCTGGGGGCTCGGGACCACGGGGAGGAGACCTGCATGCTTCTGAGGGCAACGCTGGGAAGCCCTGCTCCAGGCCGCAATGCCCTGTTGTCCGAGCAAAGCAATCTTGGCTGTGGAAGCCCCCGCTGGGCTCTTGGCTGCTGGTAGCTGAGGTCAACGGCCTACCGCTAGCCTGTATCCATGGTTTTCTTAAGCCTGCGCTTTAGCAGCTGCATTTGGAAACCCGCCCTGGGCATGTGGGCACAGGTCAGAGAGATGGTGGTGGCTGCCTACCTGACCATTGCCTCAATCTTCTTTTTGTACTTGGCGTTGATCTTGTTGCGGTACTCGGGCCTCATGAGCATAGCTGCAAAGCTGAACGCTGAGTTCTTCAGGCCGGCTCGGTGGCACTCAATCACGGTCGACGTCAGGATCGGCACGATGTCTGCGGAACAAACAGAAGCGCAGACACGGCGGTGATGTCCCCTGCCTTCAGTGACACCAGCTGGACACTGTCCCTGGCTCGGGAAGGAAACCAGATCAAGCTCTGAACTTTGCTTTTTTGTGGGAAAGAACCAGAAACGACCTGACTACTTACAAAACGGAACAGAAGCGTACTCAAGCCAACTACTCAGCAAAACGTCTTTCCTGTGGTTGGGCGCCGAGTTCCGCCTTCCAGAAAACCAGCCCTGCACGTGCCTGAGACACACTGCATCTGCCAAGCTGGCAGGGTGAGCCAAACCAACTGCTACACGCACCAACCTCTCTGCGTGCAGCTAATTATTTCTTTGGCACATAACCCGAAGTTGAATTATAGTCCCAAGAACATGACCTTATCTACCACACTGCTTTCTAGAAAGGCCACCCCAGTTTCCACCAACCCTGCCAGCAGCCGGGAGCCTGCTTTCCTTGTTGCTCTCGTGGCCAGCATGCCACACGAATTACTTTAAAGAGCTTCTCAGACTGAAAAACGTAGACACATGCATGCCTTCGTCGGACAGGCTGGGAAACCAGGGCCCACGGGCCAAATCCCGCCCAGGATTGTGGCTGGCCTGAGTCAAGAGTGGTTTGTGTTCCATTCACTGGGTGAACAACAGAACCAGAGCAAGCATGGTATTTTAGGGCATCTGAAAATGACATGGAATTCATGTCAGTGCCCATAAAGAAAGTTCTACAAGTGCACAGCCGAGCGCGTGCGCGTGTGCTTGTTGTGTCATTCACGCGACCACAGCAGGGTTGGGTGGCTGTGACAGGGACTGTGTGGCTTACAAACCCTAAGACATTTCCCATCTGGCCTTTCACAGAAAACATTCCCTAGGTGCTGCCACAGATGCGGCCACATCTCTTCACTGGAGAGTGTTCCAGTGACCTAGTTTGGGTCTTTGTTTTCAGAGCCGTGGACCCTTTTTCAGAGGCAATGGATGCCCCGTGCTTGTGCTTGTGGAGAACAGTGATTCGGAGCAAGCATTCCTTCACGTCTCTGTCCCGTGTGCTCACCTTGAGAAAGCAGGGAAGAAGAGAATATAGTCCCATGTGCAGAGAGGAGCTGGGACATCCTTAGCGAGCGTATGCGAGGCTGGCCCTTGGCTGGCCTTGGACTCAAGTGGGATTTCCCACCGTGCCCAGAGTGCCCAAAGCGGGTGCCCAGCACACAGCACATTGTTCATACTGATGCTCGCGGTGTCGGTACGAACAATGTGCTGTATGCTGGGCACCCGCTTTCCTCCTGGGAGTCAGGAAGTTTGACGGGTACCTAGGTGACCCATCCCAAGAGCAACCGTGGGCCCCGAGTGTCTAACGAACTTCCCAGACAGACTGAGCTTCTCGCAAGGGGTCGGGGGAGTTTGGTATCCTGGGTGGCGGCACTGGGAGAGGCTCTCGGAAGCTGGTGGCTGGCCTCCTCAGGGTTTGGACTCGCGCCTCTTCTGGATGCTCGCTTCCCTCTGCAATTGGTCTAGCCTCGACTGCACCTAGATGCTGGGTTCTGACAGTGCTCCTCGTGAAGCAGTGCTCCTGGGAGGTCACAGGGCTGGAGCGTCAGAGAAATCAACCGACGCGGCGGCTCACAGCCATGGCCGGAAGGAAGCTTGTGCCCATCGAGCTGACTAAGGCTACAGTGAAGAAACACGGAGGCCCCCATAGTACTTACGTGATGGGAATTTGCTAATGTTGTTGGCCACTCGAATGAGCATACGTGCGCCTTTCATATGATCTCCATTTTTAACATGAATCTGAAACAGATGATACACTTTACTCTTCTTAGAGACTAGGGTTCGTCTCCTACCGCTCACATATAAAAGAAGTCAATCCATGACCAGCACTGGGCCATCTGAAAACCCCTACAGCTTTTTCTGGACTTTCTCCCACCGATCCCTCCTCCAGCTGCTGCTGCCCACCACCCTCGGCTCGCTCTGACTCTACCTGCTTAGGTTTGCGTTCTTTAAAAAACCATTAGAGTTCATATCCATCCATCCATCCATCCAGTCAAGCACATTTGTACATATGCTGCCATCATCATTTTCACAACATTTTCTTCCTACTGGAGCCCTGCTTGTTTTTTTTAAAAAGACCATCTGAAAAGTGTTATACCGTGGAGCGTGTCTCACTGGCCGTTACTAGGGGACGAAACAGAGCAAGCCGAGCTTCTTGGGAGTTACCAGGGCGAACGAGAGTGTTGTGAAGCTGTAAGGCCGTGCAGCACTGTCTGGTGCATGCAGACAAAGGGCACTGCTGGTGGACAGACCTGAAGCTCCACAGTAAGGCTGGACTCTGTGGGGGCACTGATGAAGAGATGCAGCGGGTAGCTGGCAGGGGCCAGGTGTGAAAGCTACTTGCAGAAGCTGAGGTCGTGGGCAAAGGCCCAAAGGAAGGAGAGAAGTGGACAGACAAGGAGTCAGAGGTGATGAGTCTTGGTGAGTAGGGAATAACTCCCAGGTTTCAGGCCCAAACAAATGGATAATGATATCATTTCCTGAGCATACAACATAATCAAGAAATGTCACCTGAATCTGAAAGAAGGGGAAGGGGCTGAGTCTCTGGCTCTCAGCACTGCCCAGCTCAGCTAACCACACCCACTAAATGTCTGAGGCTCACAGTACCCCACAGGGGTCTCCAAGACTAAGTCTGTCTGCAATGGAAGCAGATAGCCGGCCTCATCTTTCTCCTGCAGAGCAGCTGGTGGGTTTGAACTGCCGATGACCTTGTAGTTAACAGCCACATGTTAGCCTGTATTTCCACTGGGGCTCCTTAGGTGATGATTTAGGATTTCAGTAATTCACATCATGACGATCTTTGTATGCTAAAAGCTGAATGGGCTCTTGCCGACTGGTTTGAGAACCAATTTAGTATTAATAAGGGAAGATGCATTTTGATATAATGGAATTTGGGGGAACTTGGGTTTCAACTGTATCTTTACATAGACGTACATGTATGTCCTTGTCGGCACATGCAGTCCTTGGATTATAAATGTCCCACTTGTGGGTAACTTATCCTTGCCCTTTAATGTTACGAAATGTGCCCTCACGTTGGAATCATTGATCCAACCCCCATCGACAACCAGCTCTTCACCACAATCACCTTCACTTGCTGCACCGGCAACTCTTAAAGCCTTGAGAAGTCTTGAAGCTTTTTCTTGCACTAAACCTCTCCCTAAAAACAAATAAACCCATTGCTACTGAGTTGATTCAGACTCATAGTGTCCCCAAGGAGGGTTTCTGAGTCTAAATCCTTATGGGAGCAGAAGGATTACCAGCCCCCTTTCAGTGAGCAGCTAATGGGTTTGAACTTCTGACCTTGAGTTTTGCAGCCCAACACTCAGCAACACAGCTGCCAGGGCTCCAGTCTTGCACTAAAGTCAGGCTAAATAAGAACCCTATTCATCTGTCCGGACTTATCTACACACATGACTTAAAGGCACATTTGGAAATGGATCTCATTTGTAACCCAGGGGCTTCCCGTGTGCATACACGTAGGAGGGGGCTTTACAAAGTTCATGGGAAAATTCCAGTGTCTTTTCATTCCATTTTTCTCCATGAACTTTTGGAAGCATCCTTGTGTGTGTATATGCACATACATATAAGGACTTGATATCTTAATGCTATTTGCTTCTGTTAAGAATTCCTGACTTAAAAATATATTAAGAAGTACACACATGTAATTTTAGAAGCATAAAAGTTTATAATAGGAAAGTGTTGACAGTTGTATCTGGGTGATGAACTTAAAGGATGAATGAATTTTGCATTATACTTTTCTATATTCTCTAAACTTTCTCTGTGCAGGTGTATTAATTTTACATCCAGAAGAAAAACAGTATCAAAAAGTGGATAAAACCCAAACTCACTGCCAGAGTCAGTGCCAACCCTTTAGGACAGGGTAGAACCCCCTGTGGGCTCCTGAGGCTGTGACTCTTTACAGGCAAAAAAGCCACGTTTGTCTTCTACGGAGTGGCTAGACCGGCTGGTGGGTTTGAACTACTGATCTTGTGGTTAGCAGTCCAATGCATAACCCATTGTGTGTTCTGCATCTTTGTTTACTCAGGTAACAACCTGGAGGTCCAGGAAAGCTCTCTAACCCTGTGTAGAGGTGTGTGGAGGAAGTCCGGGTGGGTGCCTGACCCACCTGGCAGGTATTTGCAGGGCAAGCACACCTGGCAGGTGTTCGCAGGGCACACGTGGGGCCTTACCTTGACTAGGATGTAACTGTGCAGGATCATGAGGTTGGTGGCCATCTCCGAGGGGATTTTGATTTTCTGGGATTTCAGCTCTATGTACATGCTGAAGAGGACATCGTGCGCATTCCGATAGTTGCCTTGGAAGAAGGAAGCCAGGTGACATCATTACAAAGCACACAGCCTGAGGACTTTCTGAGGACCTTCACGCTCCACATGGATTTTGTGATCGTCATGGAAATCCACTCTCTGCCATCGAGTCAATGCTGACTCACAGCGAGTCCCTGTGGGTTTCCGAGACCATCGCTGCCGTCAGGTGCAGAAAGCCCAGTCATTGGGTCGTGATTCGCATAACTTCATCTTTTTCCATTTACAAACTTGGCAGTTTTTCTTGCTGTCATGGATGGCCTGCCCCCCATGGTCTGACACCGTGCCATAAGATGAGTCCTTCAGGGGCACTGAGCCAGGCCCTCCGGGGGAGGGGTTGACACGGGGGCTGCCCCAGGGGGCTCACACATCGCCCCGCTTGTGAAGATGGTGCAGAGGATGGAATTCCGAGCTGTTCGCACAGCGTGACCACGCGTCGGAGCCGACTCGATGGCACCTCAGGCCCGTCCAGCCCACGGGGAATGAAGTGTCATCTCAGACCGTTCACTTTTCCTCGGGGCGCCCACCTGCCCTAAAGCCATCAGGTTCTCCTGACTTGTCAGCCTCCCTTCCCACCCAGCCACCTTGGAAGCCGTTCACAGTCTCCCTCCTCGGCAGGCAGAATCCCAAGGGGCTTCCAAAAGTTTGTGGCAAAGGGAATTTTCCGAAGCCCCTCTTGTAAAAACCTCAAGCTAGTGGTCCTATCTCTGCATAAAATCCCCCTAAAAAGCTCCAAAGACCTAGGGCTCAAAAGCGAATTCCTGAGCAGAAGACTCAAAGCCCTTCAGGGCCGGCCTCTGTTTACCTTTCCAACCTCATCTTTGCCTCCAGTCAAAGGTGCCAAACACGGTGGCACCCTGCCCGCAACACCGCCCTCTTCCTGATCGTGGTGGTTACTCTCACAGCACCGTCTCCCCCAGCTGCTAGCTCATCCCCATCCTCCCACCCTCCCACCTCCCCATCCTGTGCTCCTTTACCAGTTCCAAGTGGGAGGGTCCCGTGTGTCAGGAGCTGTGCTGTGAGGGGTCGGGAGGCTGAGTCTGGAACCGGATCACCAGGCCTTTTCCCCAAGTGCCTCTGGGTGAACTCCCACGGCCAGCCCTCAGGGATTGTACCAACCAGGGACGGCGGTGCTCGTCCAGCAGATCTGGTTTGTAGCACTTAGCACTCTGTATTACAGGAGCCCTGGTGGCATAGTGGGTTATGCCTTAGGATGCCAAGGTCAGTGGTTCAAATCCACCAGCTGCTCCTCTGGGGAGAGAGGAGACTCCCATAAAGATCTACAGCCATAGAAACCCATAGAGGCAGTTCTACTCTGTCCTGTGAGGCCCCTGTGATCGGAATTACTCCCCGGCACTCAGTGAGTGAGTTGACCCTGCATTTCAACTCTGGACTTTCATGCCTCATCACATCCGAAATCCTTTAGGCCAGAATTGTGGCTGCGTCCTCTGTACCCCAAGCTCCTAAGCATAGTCCCTGATAGACATTAGAAGTCAGACAAACATGAACAGACCCTTTTGGCGATTGATAAAGCAGTCCCCATACATTACAAAGAACTAGGCTAATGATACCACCACATAATTATTTTCCTTCTCCTACCCTCTCGTAGATTGCTGAGCTTGATAGCAGGAGGCTGAGGGCTGGAGAGGCCAGGGAAGTCACTGCCCAGACAGTGCCAACCAAAGGGCTTCTGTGTGCCCTGTGACGAGGATGGTTTCATCTCCGAGAGACGGAGAGGCCGGCATCCCTGGTTCCAGCAAACCTAGATTAGCACCTGGCCCCTCTGCTGAGCAGAAACGTGTGGGGGCTTGATCCTACTACCTGCTTGGGGAGAAAAGCATGAATACCAGGGACTCACCTGAAGACTGCTCCTCCCGGGCAATGATAATGGCAGTGCGGGCAGCTTCCCGGTATTGTTTTAGAGCCATGTACAAGCGGAACAGGTACTTGGCATCCTACAGACAAGCCCAGAGAGAAACATTGCTTTCGGTACTTGAGAAATAACTCATTTCAGCCCTCAGTGCCATGCTCCGAGGAAGGGGCTGAGCGTAGACTCATTTAATAAAGGAGAGACTTAAAACACCAGAACAGGGCAGAGCCAGGGTGGGAGCCAAGCAACTGTGGTTTCTGGACCTAGGTCCCTAAACCCCTCGACAGAGGACCTCTCACGGGCTTACCAAGAGAAGGAATGTGCGGCTGTCCACCATCTTCCAACTGGACACATGTTCACAAGTTTCTACCTCTTTACGAATCCCCTCGGGTCTGTACCGTGTGCCTTGGCCTCTGGCCCATTCACATTCTGATTCCCCTAATGCTAGACTTCATGTCGGGCTGCTTGTTTCCCGGCATCGGGAGGAGCAGCTGTGACCTTGGCAGGCTGGCTTAGCCTTCTCCCAGGCTTCTGCCTTTCACGTCAGCAAAGGAAATAGACACCGGGACTGGGACGGCTCCTACCTTCTCCAAACAGTGACGTGAGCTCCTTCCTAAGGAGACGTTCTTGAGCAGCAAGCACAGGCCGCAGGGAGAGGACACTCGGGGCTCCCCGAGGTGTGCGACTGAGAGAAGAGGGGCTGCCTCAGGAAGCAATGGCTGCAGACTACGAAAACACGCTTCTCACAACTTATCGTTACTGTGTGCTTCTAGAGACGTCTCTCATGCTTCACAGGGTTTCAGGCAGGTCCTTTCTACATTTATTTTCGTTGGCGATGGTCTGTTGTCTGTGGGACTGTTGAGCAGAACCCCCCAGAGGGTTTCCTGGGCTGTCAATCTGCTAGCAGCAGAGCACCAGGCCTGGGGCTTCTGTGGTGGGGGCTGGTGGGTTGGAACCTCCAATCTTTTGATTGCTAGTCCGAGGGCAAACCATTTGTGCCAGCAGGGCCCTTGGTATCGGATCAATTTTTTATTAATGAGTATTACTTTGTTAACTGGAAGAAGTATGGCCAGAATGCTCCTGAGAGGCAAGGCTGGTGAGTTTGTCTCCTGTACCTTGGGCGTGTTGTCAGGAGAGAGAGACCCGTCCCTGGAGAAGGACGTCATGCCGGGTACCGTGGAGGGGCAAAGAAAGAGGAAGGCCCTCCACACAATGGCTTGACACAGTGGCTGAAAGAACGGGCTCAAACCTAAGAATCGCTGTGAGGACGGGGCAGCGTTTCCTTCTGTGTGACCCGGGGTCGCTGTGGGTCGGAGCCAGCTCAATGGCTCCCGACGAGGACATGCTGTAAAAACTGACGAAAGCTCAGGCAGTTGGGATCAGTATGGACCGCGTTAGGCGGTCCACTGCTCGTTATTATCCCGAGGATAAATCAGACTGACACTTGAGAAACACCGTGGAGGGCGGAGCCTTCTCTAGCCGAGGCTGGGTGCCAGCCGGCAGTGCCAATGGCGAGGAGTGAATGTGCCCAGCAGCCTCTGACGCTCAGGCCTGAAGGGAGGGTTCTCAGGCTGCTCTCAGACACAAACATGTCCCCCCCCCCCCAGCCCCACTACCAACAGCCACAACAGGGGAAACCACAACCGAGAGACCCCAAGCCCGGTACCTTCGGCATGCCATCGCTCTCCCCCATGAGGTGGTCAATCAGTTGACTGGTCAGCAGTTCGTCTTTGGCCTGACCAACCTGTTTAATAAGGAAGAAAAGAACAAATCCGCATCTTAATACCAGTAAGAGGGAGGAAAGAGCAATCTTTTACTAAGCAAACAGGGAAAAATAAACACATTTATAAATGCACAGTGCCTGTATACACATACATACACACCCCTATATCTATAGCCTCTATCTATCTATCTGTCGATCGTGCCTGAAACATGATACAAACTCGGGTCTTCCTTCACCCGTTTGTGGAGTCTCCATTGATCAAAATCCAACCTCAGAATCTACAGCTTTTCTCAAAATAAACGGTATTTTTTCACCCATATAGAAAATGTGCGTGTTGACTGCCGATAAAAGCGCGACATGCTCGCGTGCAACCATGCAGCCACAGCCTGAGGCACAGCGCCTGGCCGTCCACGGCGGCAAGCTGCCGCGCCCACGCACACGGAGGCTCGGGCCGTGGGCGAAAAGGAGCAGGAGACCAGTGTTAGTCCAGGAGCCCGAGACGGGCAGGCTGTGGGAAATGGGGGTTCGGGCTCTGGAGGGAAAGCTAGAGTTGAGAACCATCTCCTTAAAGGTGAGAGGTCAAGCCGCTGGAGTATTAGGCGATGCTGATCAGGAGAAGGGGGAAAAAAAGCAGAGTCCTGTACTGCAGAAAAGAAAAGCCCGTTTCAGGAGTCAGAACGGAACGTGTGAGCGAGGAATTCAGGGGAGACATTGGGATTTACGGGCAAAATGAAAAGGGCCTTGTATCTGCAATAGATGGTCCCGAATAGAGTGGGAGAATTGTGTAGAGTAGACCTCAAATTCCCCCAAACCAAAAACAGACTTACTGGATGGGAAAAGACCAGAAGAGCTCAGAGACCATCACCCTAAGGTGCTCTTTTAAATTCAGAATTGGACCCGCTTCTGTGGGGTCATCTTTCAGCCACATTTCCAGATGGGCTCATGAAATTGAGCCATGTCCCTTGAGAGTACTGTCGTCATTGTTGTTGTTAGGTGCTGGGAGTTGAGTCTGGCTCATGGTGACCCTATGGGTCACTGAACAACATACGGCCCAGCCCTGCACCCGCCTCACAGTGGTTCTATTTGAACCCTCTGTTGCACCACTGTGGGGTTTACTCGCTTTTGCCCATCTCTCTACCAAGCATGAGGTCCTCTCCAGGGACTGGTCCCTCCTGGTAAGTTTGCCCACCAAACTTATCTCACCATCCTTGCTTCTAAGGAGCTTTCCAGCAGTACTTCTGGGAGGGAACCGATGTATTTGTTCTACTGGCAGTCCACGGTGTGTATTCAATACATAACGCCAAGGCACCCGTTCTTTTTCAGCCTTCCCTATTCACGGTGCGGCTTTCCCAGGCATAAGCGGTGACTGAAAACACCCCAGCCTGGTCCTCCAGGTGACAGCTCTGCTCGTAAACACGTTACAGAGGTCTCACGTAGCAGATCTGTCTGATGTAATACACTGTTTATGTCTTGCCTGCAGCCCCATGGGTGGTGTTTGGGGCCTGGGTGAAATGAAAGCTTTGACCGTCCCAATCTTTTTGCCATACATCCTGATGGTCTAGCTGTGCAGATGTGTTTCCTGTACGTGTAGGCAGAATCCACACAGAAGGCTGTAGTCCTTGGTCTCTTGATCTTCATCAGTAAGCGCTTCAAATCCTCTTCATTGCCAGCCACTGAAGCTGTGTCATCTGCAACGAGTCTTCTTTCATCGGAGGCCACATCCTTTCCCAGAGTCCGGCTGCTCAGGTGGTTTCCTCGGAAACAGATGGAATGCGTGTGGTGGGAGGATCCGGCCCGGATGAACACCTTTTCTGATTTTAAACTATGTGGTTTGTTCTGTTTGAACAACTGCCTCTTGGTTTAGGTGCAAGTTCCACATGAGTATGTTTAAGTCTTCTGAAACTTCCATTCTCTGCAGTTTTATCACTACTTTGTGATGATCCAGTCAACGGCCCTTACGTAGTTAATAAACTCAAGTAAATATCTTTCTGATACTCTTATTTCACCCAAGATCGATCTGCTATCAGCAACGAAATACTTCATCTCACATCTTCTTCTGAAGCCTACTTGAGTTTCTGGCAATTCTCTGCTGATACAGTGCTATGAATGTTTTGTTAGTTAGTGTCAGCAATATTGTTTGGGCGTGATATGAATAATAGTGTTTGATGATTTCTGCCTTCTGGTGGCTCTACTAAACAATGATCCAGACATGGACGGGCACCGTGGCTGCGACAGTGGGCTCGAGCACAGGACCCGTTGTGAGGGTGGGGCAGGACCAGGCGCGTTCCCTTCTGTTGCAGAGGGTCGCAATGGGCTGGAGCCAGTCTGACGGCGCCTAACAACTTGAGACCAGATGGCCAGTATGTAAAGCAATGAGCAGGGAAGGGGAGAGGGCGGGAAGCTAACGTAATGGAAATCGAACCCCCAGAATGGAACTAGTGGGAACGACAATCTGACAAATGTGGCCAACCACACTGAACCATAAACAAATTATGAAATGGCAGTATCATTTTGGCTAGGTAACCTTGTACAAAAAAAAAAAAAAGGTCTGGTGTCTATTACAAAGAGGTGAGCTGAGTATAACTGGACAGTTGTGAGGCCGGCATGCAGGACCGGGCAGTGTGTATCTCTGTTGAACACAGGGTCCTCTGAGTGGGGACCTAACACCACCACCACCAAGGCCAGTACCCTGCACCATATGTACGGGACACTTACTCTCCCTCTCCTTTGTGCCTTCATTCTTCATGACCTTAAATCTTAGCAAGAACACCTCGCCGGCCTGCATGTCCGTCTTTCAAACTCGCAAAGCATGCAAGATGCACTCAACTGCCACTTCCTTAAGAAGCCTTTCCAGAACCATCCTCTGATGAAACTCCATCTTCCTGACAATTCCCAAAACTACTTTTGGCGACAACAGTCAGCTCCTTTCCAAATAAAAGCTCCTTAAGATCAAGGCCCCTTTCCACTGACCACAGTATCCAGTAGCGTCTGTAGTGCCCATGGGCACTCAATGAAGCATCGTTGAGTCAGACGTCCCCGCTCCATGAAAACACTACGTGGACGATGCACGCTTCCCTCTCAGCCTCCATTGTCTTCTTTCCTTTCGCCCTGAGACCCTGCCCGGGGTGGGGGTGGGGGTAGACTGGGATTTTCTTTTTCTTTCTTCAATCTGTACATCCTTTTAACTTGATTATTCAAAACCAAAACATAGGCCTTTTCATTGTTTGATGAATTCACTCTCTTAATCATCTTCCAAAGATCGACTCTTTACCCACCCCGACCCCATTCTTCCCAGCTCAGGGTTCTGAAACACCGATCTGGGATCTGGTATGAAAGCGAGGAATTGGCTCCTCATTGGGAATCATTGCCTGAGGGAATCACTAATAGGGATGGACAGATGAGACTGACCTAGAAGAATATAATCGGTACAGTTGGAAGGAAAACTTTGATTTTATTCCTAGCTCCATTACTTTCTCTCTCAGTGTCGTCTGGGATGTCAGGTTCCTCCACAGTCGAATGAGGGAGGTTAGCCTGGGTTGTCTCCTAGGAGACCTAAGATTCTGAACCATGAAGGTACTTAGGGAGCAACAGCGAAGGCAGTAGGGAGCCACTGAAGCTGCAGAATACAATGATTGCAACCCAACTGAGGACCAACGAGCCCAGTAATGAAGTTCAGAGTGGACTTGTCAAGTAATCTCAAGAATAGACGATACGTACATAGAGCACATGCTCCTGATCTCAGTGAAATATGGCATTATATGGAATACAGCAAGGAGAGGTAGATTCTGTGGTATTAGAAACACAGTGAAAGGAGAAAACAGTGATTGTCAGGGACAGCTATCATTGTGTAAGATGTGCCTTCAATTCTTCTGAGGTTCTAGGAAGACTTCTGTGTCTTCCAGGACCCTAGCTCCATGGCCACAGATCTTGGTCTGGAGTTAGGGAGAGACTCAGCCTGACCAGTCGTGCTGTCCTAGCCCCCCTATGACCATGAGCTGATGGCACCTGGAACGGACAAGCAACAGATCGGCCATTACGGACTATAGGAACAGAGTCCTTGGCTCTTCTGGCAGGAAGGATGAAAGATGTAAAATTGGGAGCTGCTGGCAATCTTAATTCTGGCTTCCCAGCTGGGGGAAGTAGGTAATAAAAATACTGTGGGTATGCAAAGAATAAAGGACTATTTTTACAATAGCCTTTTGTGAGTAGCTGGAGAATAATTTCCATTCCTTAATAATTCTACTGAACTTTCAACATTGATATTTTTAGAAAACTGACAAATTTTTATGTCACAATAGATCTGTTAACATCCTCACTGAAAAAAACCTAAAACAGTGAGGGAACTTCAGAACCTGTGTATTATGAAAAATCTAAAGGAACTTCAATATTTCTAACACCCAAATAAACTTGTACTAACTTGTGACAACATGTCTGGACAGGATCCCCTTTGAGGCCCTGAGAAGGCTAAGCCATCAGTCTGAAATGAACCCCTTCAGAGCAACATGAATGCTGCTAACACGGATGCGGGAGCAAACATGCAATTCACGTGATGTTTGAGTGGAAGAACGGCGATATCACGGATGCTGACAGCCATGTTTCTGGGGACAATGCCCTAAAGAAGTCAGCAGAATTCAAATGGATCAATGGGTTTAAGAAGGTACAAGGTGGTATTGAAGATGGAGCCCACAGTGGCAAGGGCATCCACGTCAATCTGAAGTTAAAATCCCAGTCGAAACAAGAGCCCAAACTACAGACATCTCGGTGGGTTCAACTGAGAGAACTCTGACTGGAAAATTACAGGTAAGCAAATTTTGTTTGATGGGTGATGACAGCGTTACACCCAAATTAGCTACAGACAAGAGCAGAACTTTCCCTGGAAAGTTGAACCAACTGGGATCAAGATCCTGCAGACAAAGCACTATCAGTGCAATGGCTACCAAGAGGGGAAGTGTTTCGGTACAAGAACAGCAATCACAGCACGGTGTTTGGAGGTGCTCAAAGCATTTTGCTTGGTGACTTTCTGAAAAATCAAAGAACAATAACATCTACTTATTGTGAGTGTTTTGAGAAAGGTGGGCAAAGCATTAGCAGAAAAACACCCAGGAAAGCTTCATCAGAGAGTCCTTCACCACAATAACGCTGCTCATCCCTCATGAAGTCAGGGCAATTTTGCTAGAGTTTTGATGGGAAATCATGAAAACTCTCCACTGAGTCAATTCTGACTCATGGAACTCTCCAGGGCAAGGTAGGACTATTTCCTAACCCTAAAAGACCAGTCCCAGGGCACTGTCACGTGAGCGCTCGACTTGCTAACCTGAAGGTTGCCCATCCATCCCCCCTCGGGAGAGCGAGGCTGTCTGCTCCTGCTAAGATGGCTACGCCCCGGAAACCCTACACAGGGTCACTGTGAGTTGGAACGGACTCGATGGCAGTGGATGCTGGGAATTTTCAGAAAACTTTAAAGACCACCTATTTTTCCTTAGTTAATAATATAAAAAACTATATTTGCATGATGGTTAAAGTCCCTGGACCCTTAGTTGTTTGGATGGACTAAATGGCTGGTATCATTGCTTACAGATGTGTCTAGAACTTCACAGAGCTTAATGTTGAGAAAAAGTTCACATTTTAATCTCTTGATTCCATTTTTCTACAGGCTTTTTGAAATGCCGTTGTATCAGACAAAGGACTTGTATTCAGACAATATAATGAAATCCTAAAAATCAGCAACAATAAGATGGGTTGGCTCAATTAAACAAACAAACAAACAAACAAACAGGTAAAAGAATAAATGAGGATATTCAAGTGGTCAACAGACACATAAACAACTGACCAATATCACCAATCATTGGTAAATGCAAATGTAAACCATAGTAAGAGACCACTATGCAACCAGCCGCATGTTGCTGTTGTGGGTTCTGGCCCACAGCGATCCGAGGCACAACAGAAGGTAACTGGCCAGCCCTGCAGCACTCTCACCACAGCCCCTCCAGAGCAGTGGAATGCGATGGGTGGGTAAGTGTTGCCGAAGATGAGGGACTGAAACTCTTACATTGCTAGTGGGAGTACACACTGAAAAAACATATGACTGCTAAAAATACACCCTGTAAACCGACAATTCCACTCCTGGGATTATTACATATTTATTATTTATATATTAAATTGATAAAATTTAATATGGAAAATGTTATTATAAAAAGTCTTATGTATACAATTATTTATTCGGGACTGAGTACCTAAAAAACTTGAGTGTGCACATCTATCAAAAGGCATGAGCTCGAATGTTCATGGCAGCTTTATTTACAACAGGCCCAAACTGGAGCCCTGGCAGCACTGTCAAGTACGCTGCTAACTGCAAGGCTGGTGATTCAAACCCACCCACTGTTACAAGGGAGAAAGATGAAGCTTTAAAGATTTACAGTCGTAACCCTTTTTTCAGGAGTAGCTGGTGGTTTCAAACTACCAACCTTGTGGTTAGGAGTCCAACCACTGCCATCAGGGCTCCTTGAATAGAAGAGGTGTGAGATCAATTATGGAGCTGCCATAGAATGGACGACTACTGATGGCAACTAACAAATACTTATTAGGGTTTCCATACTCCACTGTATGCAAGGGGCCCTGGTGGATCGGGCTGCTAACTGCAAGGTCAGCAGTTCAAAACCACCAGCTGCTCCTTGAGGGAAAGACAGGACTTTCTACTCCCATAAAGTTACAGGGCTGGAAACTACAGGGTTGTTTTGAGTCAGCATCAACTTGATGGCAGCGAGTCTGGAGTTCAATTTGTTTTAAAGTATCCCAGTAAAACCAGGAGCTAGGATGGGGTACAAACAAGACTGGCCATGAGCTGAGCACCTGTTGAAGTTAGCAGGCGGGCATATGGGAACCTATCTTACTATTTGCTCTACTTTTTAGTATGTTTGGAAGTTTCCCTGAAGAGTTTACTTACAGTTTCAATGGCCATTTCTATTGCCATGTTATCTTCTGAGCTTGGGCATTTCAGGAAGTGTTTAAGTGCCTGGAATGAGAATTTTATAGCCGTTAAACATTTTTAGACTGCTTCCATGATTTCATATATACACAATGTTATTACAGTTTTTCTGGGAAAAAATCATCTCAACTAGGGCCTTGCTCAGTGCTGGCTACTGAGAGCATGTATTTAAAAGGCTGTGTGTAATTTAAAAATGGAGAGGGGTCCAGTTAACCTTCTCAAGAACTTATTTCTGATCTCGGATAAAATGCCAATGAAAACCGTGTCCTCGCGCAGCAGGAAGATTTAATCATGTTTACTCACCAGATAGTTCCCATTTTGTCTGGGGGACAACCCTAGAGTGATGGAGGACAGCTGGAAGCATGAGGGGTGGCCCCTCTTAGTGCTGGTTTTGCTTTTATTAATAATATCTGATTGTGTTTTTAGTCATAAGTTTATACAGCAAATTAGCCTCCTCTTCCAACAATCGTTATACAAATTGTTCCGCCACTGGCTACAATGTTCACGATGTGGCTGCATTTTCATGATCTCCTTGTTTGTTCTGTTTTCATAGATAAAGCTTCTCTTCCCCTCTTTGACTTCTCATCCTTGTTTTTGGGTAAATGTTGACTGCTTGGTAGGATGTAGTTGATTATTTAAGGGAGTATACTGCTCATGGGTGTTAACTGTTGATTATATAAGCCACACTGTCATTTGGCTAAAAGCTGACCTCAGAAATAACTTGCAATTTCCAACTTCAAAGGGTATCTTAGGGCAAGAGTCTCAGGGGCTCCCCTAGCCTCTTTTGGCCCTAGTAGGCCTGCCCTTTCTTGAAACTGAAATCCCTAAGTTTAAGATGGTGGCGGGCACCATCTAGTTATTCTGGTCTCAGGTTAGAAGAGCAGGCTGCGGTGCATGTGGACCACTCAGACTTGCAGACTACTTTCTTCTGAGTCTCTCACTTCCACTTTCTTTTCGTTCCATGTAAGTAGAGACCAATAGTCTTATCTTAGATGACTGCTCCCAAGCTTTCCAGACTCCAGACATCACTAACCAAACTAGGATGTAGAACATCTTTTTGTGTTTTATACAGTCTAATGGGGACATCGAGTAATGCAATCATCATATAAAGAGAACTAATCATCTTAAGACAAATGTCTAATTCCTAAACATCACACTATCACATCAATGAAGAAATGTAAAGTTATAAGAGACTCAAAGATAAATGGGAGTGGAGCCAGAGTCCTGGTGTTCTAGTGATTACGAGTTGGGCTGATAATCATCAGGTCAGCACTTTGAAACCACCAGCGGCTCCAAGGAGACAGACAAGGCTTTCTACTCCCACCAAGTGACAGCCTCAGAGTCCCCAGGGGCAGTTCTGCCCTGCCCGATAGGGTCACCATGAGTTGGAATCACTCAAGGGACATAATTTTGGTTTTGGGTCTGAAGAAATAAAGATTATGCTGTATGGGAATGAACCATGGTGTTTTGGAAGACAAAGAACTTGAAGGATGCACATGGCTGTGGTAGGTGAAGAAAGCGCGGAGGGGATGAGATGTGGAATTAAGATGGGTAACGGCCTGGCTGTAGTGCGGGTTCTTTGGTGGAAACAGCTAGATTTCAGACTGAGGAGTTAGGCTGGTTGGTCCAGTGGGTGAGAATTCTGAGCGTCAGCTAAGGGGCTTAGACTTTATGTGAGAGGCCCGAACCCTGACATTCATACACAGACAGATTTTCTCTGGCTAACGTGGTACTGTGAAAATATCTGGGCTCACATTTTGAAACTGGAGGGCCCGTATTTCTGTACCTCTTCAAACATCTCGTGATCTGGCCGTACCAAAACCCACCGCCGTTGAGTCCATTCTGAGGCTACCAAGCTTCACAGAAGCCGGGTGCCCAATCTCCCTCCTGCAGAGCAGACAGTCAAACATTGGCCTTTCAGTGCTTAACTCGCTGTGCTACCAGGGTCCCCAGGATCTGGCAATATTGGGCTCAGATCCCAGAATTCCAAGGTGAACAGCAGCTGGCCCCTTCAGGCAAGTGCAGCCCCAGGGTGCCTGCCCTGTCACATCACAGAGCACAGCCTCACCGGTTTGGATCCGTTTCGGGCAATGTAGCTCTGCTTCTAGGCAAAGGGGCTTTTTAGCAATGACGACAAACACAATATTGGGAACTACATGAAGGAGTAGTGGTGGGAGTCTAAAACCAAGGGAAATCGGGGCGTGACTGCGATAATCTAAGGTGGGGTGACGGGGCTTGGACTCAGTAGATGACAGTCGGATGGAAAAGGGTGGGGGGAGAGACTCTGCAGAAAGTAGAAATGGCTGTGGAGGGGAAAGGGCGAAATAAAGTTGACCCTGATGTCACGTGCGGATGTCCGGGAGCAGAAGGGATTTTTCAAGCATTGCCCACCACCAGTCCTGTGGCATCCAAGTCTTGTTTTCTTATCAAATACTAACTCGGGAATATTGGCCGCACAGCAAGAAGAACTTTCCGGCCTGAAAATGTCTCTTTTCCCCTTCAAAGTGTAAGGCGATGCTCTGGTAGTCTTCGTTTGCCGTGTCTTCAGAGCCTGCAACAGAGATCCATCGAGGAGGTTATCCGCAGCGGGACTTGCTGACTTTTATTCTATGCTACAAGCACATCTAAAACCAGGGGATCTAGAAACAGGCAAGTAAAGGTTTTAAAAAGGCAAATGTCAATGTTATTATCCGTGTCTGTTTTCGTCCTAAAACACATCCATCCTAATTATTCCCAAATATCATCTCTATGCCATCTTCCTGTCATTCTTTTCTCCCTTCCATCCTAAGAAGAGATCCGGAGAGGGAAATGGGAGCCTTTCCTGAGGCCCTGCGTGACTTTTATCAGCCCTTCACAGTCTCAACTTCATTTCCTAGAACTCCGGCAGCAACTGTCTACCTCAACCAGGACCTGCCCAGAGTTAAGCGTATAGACCACTATGCACAGGTAATCCAACCTCCTCCCTCCCTCAGCAGGGCGTGCTTTAAACCATTCTGCTGCCACTTGTTGCAGCGGCGTGGAGTCTGGCTCCTGGTGGGCCCGTGTGTGAGGGGTGGAACTGCTCCATTGGGGGTCAAGGCTGTGACCTTTCGGAAGCAGCTGACCAGGCCCGTCTCCCGAGATGCCTCTGGACTGGTGTGAACTGCCAACCTTTTAGGTAGTCAGCACTTCCCCGGTGATGCAACCCGGCAGGCAGGTTTAAATAACAGGTCTGTGTGCATTTGTCAGCTGGGAAGATAGTGCATATTCAACTGGCCAATAGATACTATTTGCAGACCTTACTGTTTTTCTTTTAAGCTTTTTGTTTTGGGGCTTCAGCGTATTACACAGAGGAGTAAGGCCCCTAAAGCTGCCTAGTTCCAGTTCATTGGTAACATCTACACATACGTGGAAGGTCCTGTGGCAGAGAGAAGCCTTGTGCCATAAGCTCGGGGCCTGCCGTCCAAGGCAACTCTGGCATTTATAAAAGTGAGTCTGCAAGGTAGTCAAGTCCGGGTATTTTGGGGGGAGGGCTTTTTATAAGGATGAGCTCTATGCTTATGAACACAGAAAAGTGTAAAAGCTTTAGCGCCATGAGGCTTTGTGATATTAGAAGGACATGGCATCGGTCGGGTTGGAGGCTGACAATCCCAGTATCACTTGTGTCCACCCCTCTCATTTTGCTCTACTTCTTTATCTTCTCCAAGGGTCCAGTGACTTCCCACGCGTTACATGATGCGTTCCCCCGTTTCTCCCTGTGAAGATGGAAAAACCAACGCTTCCTCCTGACTCCTATCAAGTCCTAGGGTCACTCTTTGAAGTTTTAAAAAGACAACAAATCACGATGGCACACACAGCCCACAAGATGAAAATCATTCCTGAGAATAAGCCCGGAAGGAAACCTGCAAGCAGGTCTTCCCAGTGTACAAAGTTCTCGTTTGGAGCCTTCAAATTCTTTAAAAGCCACAGCGTGATCACGCGCCATCAAAGTAGTTATATTTAGTTATTACCGTTAATTTATAACTCTATTTTTAAGATTTAAGAATACATTTAGGTTTTAAAAAAATGATCCTACAATACAGCCTCTCTTGATAGTCATCCAAAAATTGAAAATGGTCCTTCTTATATTATCACTTACCTTTCAGGTGATGGTAACTAACTAACTAACTAACTAACTAACTAACTAACTAACTAACTAACTAACTAACTAACCAACCAGTTGCTGTCAAGTCGATTCTGATTCACAGCAATCGCCTGTGTTCACCGGATCTTTCTCCCAAGGCGACTCTCAAGCCCCCAACCTTTCAGTTAGCAGGTTGGCTGTTTATACCCCACAAGGGACACCAAGTGGAAAGGAGGGGCCTTGAAATCCAGCAAGTAGCATACACCTGTGTCTATCTATACACATACATACACTATAGGGCTTCAAAAGGTTTGTGGAAAACGGAGTTACAGGATAAAGGCGTTTCCCCACAAGCTTTCTGAAGCTGCGAGGTATACAGGTGTGTGCGAGTCTGAATGGGATGGGTGGGTGTGCTTCTAACAGCATAGATCGCTCCGCTCGTTAGGTCATAGAAGCCAGAGTAGCTGTGATGAAGCGCTTTGGGAGCGTGAGGGAAGCCAGTGGCCTTTACCAATAATGTCTGCGTAGATCTCCATTTTGTTGTGCTGCTGAGCCAGGGTGAAGGCTTCATGGTTACACTTGGACATGACAAGAAACTGAATGGCAGACCCGTAGTCACCTAGCTGCAGGAAAAACCTGTGACAAAGAACTGTGATTAGTGTGAGTGCTATTTACAGTGAATCTGTGACTTACAAAGTTAAATATTTTCCAAACAGGAGAAGCCATGCACACATAAGAGGTCTGTTGGGTAAACTGCCGTCCTACATTAGATACTTGTACTAGAGAAACACAGTCTCCTCATGCTGTCCACCACAGCCTTTGCACTTAACAGTCTCACTCGAAAGCTCATTGCCATTGAGTCGATGCTGACTCACGTGACCCCGGAGGGCAGAGTAGAAATGCCCCGTGACTTTCCAAGGCTGTCACTCTTTCTGGGAGCAGAAAACCTCAGTTTTCTTCCACAGACTGGTTGGTAGGTTTGAACTCCTGACCCCGTGGTTAGTGTGGCCCAAAGTGGAACCATTATGCTACCAGGGCTCCCGTGTCAACATCTAGGCCTAGGAACACAAAAGAGTAACTGTTCCTTTCACATTGATTTCTTGGACGAGGGGAAGGGGACATTTTCTTGGACGGGAGTTTGGGGAGAGCACAACTGTGAGTGCATCCAGTTACCTGGCTACCATTTTGGCTCCATCCAGAGAATGGGTCTCTCGCACGATGCTGACGGCTTTCTCTGGACGGTTGAGGTGGTCCAGGTAGAGGCGGATGACACTGGTCCACTGTTTTGCATTCTCATAAGCCACAACAGCTTCTTTGTATCTGCAGGAAATAATTTGGGTTTAGACAGACTTTCTTTCTCTTTTTCAGTTTATCGGGTGCTCTAACAGCTCTTACCATGATCCACACATATATCCATCGTGTCAAGCACATCTGCTATGTATGTTGCAATCATAATTTAAAAAACATTTTCTTTCTACTTGAGCCCTTGGTATCAGCTCCTCATTTTTCCCTCCTCCCTCCCCCATGAACCCTTGATAATTTATAAATGATTATTTTTCTCATGTCTTACACTGATCACTTAGACAAACTTTCTTACGAATGCGACCATATTTAACAGAGGGAGGTGGGGGAAAGAACGATTTGGAATACGTTTCTAATTTATTGATGGCATTTGCTTATTTTCTTGAAAAATAAAGTATCAGAAATAATAACACTAAAATCTGTGTTCTGTTTGGGAGTTGGGTAAATTAACAGTTTTTCATGACTAGAGGATTCTGAAAAGCAAGAGGAGCGTGCTGTCAAACACACAGCCTTCTTTACGCTCTAGCTCCACAGTGCTACTGTAGGTCCTCTAGATGGCGCTCAAGACCTATTCTCGGCCAGTCCCCACCACGCCAGCTCTTTACAGCCCCACAGAGCAAGGAGCGCAAACTCCATTTCCTGAGGTTACCTAACTAAAAACA